TGCAATTATATCAATTGCCACCTTTTTAATGTTTTATTCACAAAATGCCATGGGCTGATTATTGTGGTTCCATCACCTTTCAAACATTCAGCTGAAGCTAACAGTCCTGGATGCTCATAGCATACAGGTGAAACTCGAAAAATTAGAATATCGTGCAAAAGTAATTGCAGTAAGTGCTGCAAAAGGGGCCCAAACCAAGTACTGAGTACATATGCATGCTTGTACTTTTCAGAGGTCCGATATTGTTCTATGTACAATCTTTGTTTTATTGATTGCATGTAATAATCTACTTTTTTGAGGTTGTGGATTTGGGGTTCTTAGGGTTTTCATGAGCTGTAGGCCATAATCATCACAATTATGACAAATCAGGGCTTGAATTATCTTGCTTTGCATGTAATGAGTCTATCTCATATATTAGTTTCACCTTTTAAGTTGCATTAGTGAAATAAATGAACTTTGCACGATATTCTAATTATTCGAGTTTCACCTGTATGCTGAACATCCAGATGCTTTAGGGACATTGGAAGTCATTGCAGAATGTCCACATAAAGGAGTAAGTGCAATTATTGTGTGCACAGATTTTTCAACCGCATAATAAATAGGGGGGCACTTGTTTGATCCCCATACAAGAAGTCATTATCAGGAAACCTGGTGACAAAAATCTAATTTGACAGGCAAGTAAGGAGATTCTCAATTACAGATCATTTCTATCTGTTCATAGTGCGGCTATTTATATTTAGTTTGAACTCACATGTCTAATAAGCTTTTTGGGCACATCAATATAAATATAAAACCTGTCAGGTAAATTAGTATTTCCTGCTCGTTAACAAGGATACTGTTATCTCCAGTCTACCTGTGCAGTATTTTACCTCAAACGGAATAAGGCAATTTATTTCCAGCAAAAAACTGAGGTATCAAGCCTCTCTAAAATACATAAATGCAGGGTCGGAAAAGCACAAAACAGAGTGCTGAATTTTACATTTATAAAGTGAATCTCCAGCTAATGTGCATCGGCAACAACAAACATTAAAAAGCGTCTCTGCACTCCAAGGAATGGAGCTGCCATGGTAACAGATTTCAGATTTTCTAGCATTTTACTACTCATATCCCCCCTTCTTATTTCATTAGGATAAAATGTCATTTTCACAAAGGCAGAACCATCCGATGTTAACCTCTTCTTGGTCTCAAATGCTTATTGGAAGATTAAAAGTAGGGATGTCCCGATACCGATACTAGTACCGGTATCGGGGCCGATACAGGGCATTTTAATGAGTACTTGTACTCGTGAAAATGCCCCAATGCATAGCGCCAGTAACGGCACTTTATATAGCTTCACCTGCGTGTCAACTCACCCTGCCATCTCCCAAAAGCCAGCCAGAGAGATCGAGATCAGATTTGTAGCCCTTCCAGGACCTCACAGTGCCACCTCCCACAAGGTATTCACAGACATAGGACTCTGAGTCAGAGCCCTGCCAGGACCTCACAGTGCCGCCTCCCACAAGCTACCCACAGAGATCGGGCTTGGAGTGTGAACTCTCCAGGGACCTCACAGTGCCACCTCCCACAAGCCAGCCAGAGAGATTTGCCTTGGAACCCCCTGGACAGCGCAGACACACCTGTGTATATGTGAGTGACAACACACCTCTTTATATGTGAGTGACAACACCACCTGTGTATATGTGAGTGACAACACCACCTGTGTATATGTGAGTGACAACACACTTGTGTATATGTGAGTAACAACACACCTGTGTATATGTGAGTGACAACACACCTGTGTATATGTGAGTGACAACACACCTGTGTATATGTGAGTGACAACACACCTGTGTATATGTGAGTGACAACACACCTGTGTATATGTGAGTGACAACACACCTGTGTATATCTGAGTGACAACACACTTGTTTATATGTGAGTGACAATAGGTGAGTTACTTTACATTTTCCCTCTTTAATTATTATGAGCCGGTTCGAACATTCTGCAGAGACTATCCTCATATGTTGTGGCTGTGTGTAATGATCACTCGATTTTACCCACACCTTTGAATATTCGCTCATTCCTTATGGTGCAGGAATATTTTCGGGTGCGGGAAACGAGTGATCATTACATACAGTGTGTGGTATTGGAGCACATGATGTTTTGCGTTGATGAAGATATAGACTGTTTGGAGATTGAGTTATAGACGGATTCAGATTGGGACTGAATTGTACTAACTGAAATTGTTCAGATTTTTTCATTGAAGATGTTATTGTACACGCATGTACTGGTTGTACACTTGGTATTGCACCACATCATTTATATATTGAGTATACTTTATGGCAATATACTGTATATATTTCTTTAGCTCGACAATAATAGGTTTACTTAATTTTTTTCAGAATTATAAAGTAACTGCCCTAAAATCATTAGTCTGTAATGTTTTAGAAAAAAGTCACCTGTCCCTTTTTAAGAAAACGTATTGTTAATTGGTATCGGCGAGTACATGAGGGGCAGTACTTGTACTTGGTCTAAAAAAAGTGGTATCGGGACATCCCTAATTAAAAGAGTATGGACTTACAAAGTGTGATCTAAATGATTTGCATCTCTACTGTGTAACCACATTGCTATGTATTTTATTGAATCAAGACAACTGCTGAGTGGTTGATGTATTGTAGACTTACTTGGCTGTGACATCTCTTTTAAAAAGATTGATGCTTTGAATTTTTACAGGGATCATTCTTTCACCTGCTATCATTCAATGAATACACTCATAAAAATAAATTATGACACTATATTTAAAAGTTTGGAAGCACCAGCTGTTTTTCTCCAGGTTTCTTTTTTTTTCTTCTTTTAAACTGCTAAGCTAAAAAACGGCAATGGTAACTGGTTAAGGAAAGCTTCTACTCTCTTAAAGTTGAGCGTTCAATAACATTTACAAAGCTGCAATGAGAGAAATATGATGGCTGCCACTGCTGGCCTCGCCTTCGAAAAATTGCAGTTGCCTGGCTATTATTTCAATTTCATGGTTTCAGTACTTTTCTGTGTCACTTGCCTGCTGTATATATGGAAAACATGAGTTCTGGCTAGTCTTCCTGTAATTATGCAGGTTATTTTATCTACAGTCAGGAAAGAAATATTATATCTCCCAGGTTCATGCACTGGTGGAATTTGTTTTAATCTTACTTAACAAGCAAGCAATTAGTAAAGTCAAGACTCTTGACCTGTATAATTTACTTACTAAATAGTGAAGTAAAGATAAAAAAAGCTAAGAACTTGCATCCTCAAAAACCAAGTCAAATATCTATGGATCCACTGATCATCAAAAAAGGACCAAGACATTAGGAGATCTCACGATGCAATAACATTGAATACATTTTTGATAAGTAAAAGACAATAAGGAATGCACAGCATCCCATATCAACCAGTCGGAATCATTTTAATTATTTTAAAAGAAGAAAGCTGCTTGGATAACAAACCTACTACACTTGTCATTTGGGCTTTATATATAGTATAAAGCTGTGGTACAGAACAGTGTTTCTCAACTGGGGTGCCAGTCTGAGTTCATCAGGTGTGCCGCAGCAAAATAAAAGAAAAAAAAGTCAGTGCCTAAATTTTTTATTGCCCAGACTTTAGGATCCAGTAAATCCTCCTCTCCCATCTCTCCTCTGCTCACTTACAGTAGCAAAATCTTAAACTGTGGCTGCCGCAGACATCTTTGACATCATTGGTTGCTAGGAATCAGTTGGGTGATCAGCTGTACAGAGCGCTGTGGATGAGCTCTTGGGTGGTGATGTTTGCTCCTCCGGCCATCAGGGGGAGGTACGATGGACGGAGGCTGTGTCTAGTAGTGATGGCCAGGCAAGAGGGGGCTGCAGATTAATCCTGATCTGTAGCTGGTGCCTCTCTGGGTCTGTGCACCAGGCAGGTATAGTGGAGAGGGAGGGGGGACACTGTGCTGTAGGTGCGTCAGATCTGTGTAAAGAATGGACTCTGCTCAGATTTTGTCATTGCTGTGTGTTATCAGGAGGTTCCCCACCACTTCCATCCCTCCTAGCCGGTCGTAATTCACATATAAATCCTAATATTTAGGATCCAGGCTAGAACTAGACAGCTGCTGTGGAACAAAAGGTCCCAACATGCTGGCATTAAAGCCTAAATCCAGCTCCCCTTTTATTTTGTTCTAGATAGAGTGAGGAAAAGTCTCCCAGGTTTTTATTTGCGTGACCCCACTGGGGAGACTTTCCCTTATTTCTTGACTCCAGGGCTGTTGTGTGCATCATTGCAGGCTCAGGTTTCTCGTTGATGGTAGCGTATTTGCTGGCTTATAAGACGGGTTTTTAGACCCAAAAACATCGCCTGAAAATCGGGGGTCGTCTTATATGTCGGGTATACTGTATGTAGCTTTGGCTACATACAGTATACCGCGCTGAGCCAATCACGGCAGGCTTTGTATTCATTAATACAAAGCCAGCGTGGTATACTGTATGTAGCTGAAGGACGGAACCCGGAAGATGGAGGACACTGCGGGGATCGTGGACAAGGTAAGAGACTGCAATCCCGAGTGTGGCTCGGGGTTACCACTTATGGTACTGAAAATTAACCCCGAGCCACACTCGGGAATACCGCCATGGAGGTTAGTGGGTGCATTTAAACATTATTTTGGGCTATACTCGTCTTATACGACGAGTATAGCCCAAAACCTATATTTTAACACAAAAAGTGGGGGGTCGTCTTATACGCCGAGTCGTCTTATACACCGGCAAATACGGTAAGTAACATTTACATTTCAGACTGGGGTGCCTGGAGATTTTGCATACTTTCAAAGTGTGCTGTACTCAAAAAAAAAAAAAAGGTTGAGAAACACTGGTACAGAAGACCTGCCTCAGACAAATGATTGCCTAACAGTTTAAATCTTTTTAACACAAATCTATCAGCCCAAACAGTCTGCACTAAAACAGTCTTCTATGCACAAACAATTTATAAAACAGTTTTGTTCAGCTATAATATTAAATACTTACAGTTTTGCAATGGTGTCCATAGGCCATGGGGTAGGTTTTAGGCTTCTTCTCTCTGGTTTATGTTGGCAAAGTCCCAAATGCACAAACCTAAAGCAATCAATAAAACCTTAGTGAATAGATATTTGAAGCATTCTTTATTCATAAGAAATTGTCGGGATTAAGTTAAGTTTAAAGAATGGCTAAGGTTATTAGTTTAAACATGTGAAGCATGAAACAAACTCTTCAAAAAGTACTGCTGGGATAGTCCATAAACCCAGCTCCAATACTAGCAATAAAAAACCCTGTCATATTCAATAGGCTTTAATGAAAGTAACATAAAACCATTCTTTTAGATGTATGCTCTGGATAGTATAGTAACCAAGGCTTAAAAAAGTTATAGTGCAACATAATTTAATTTTTTGTACTAATCACATTTATACAAAAGAACACAATAATAAAACTCCCAAGCTTTATCCTCAACCAGGGGGAAAATCCTTCCTGGACCTGTCCATCACAGCTAAATCAACACCATGGATCAGGCTCCACATTGCTCAACCCAACATAATTATAGCTGGAGAAGCCATTCCTAGCACGCAAGGCATCCAATCCATATTTATGCTCAAATATGTTATTGGCCATCACAATCTACTTCAGCAGCAATTTCCCACCTTCACAATATATATCAGAACATTTCCTTTTTATAGACAAAAGCCTCTCCTCTGGTGGAATTTGTAGTCTAAAATAAACACTTGAGGAGTTAGAGAAACGTGGAGGCCAAAAAACTAGATGAACAATTGGGGACTCTTGCCAAATTGCTACAGAGACAACAGTTCCACAGTAAAAGCAAAAAGTCAGTTAAGTCTTAATGACATCTTAAAGGAGAACTATGGGGTCAGGGCTTTTCCCCATAGTTCTCCTTAGGGAAACGGGAGGACACAAACTAGCGTCCTCCCGTCACCCTAAGCTCAGTATACCGCGAGCTACAGCTCGTGGTATACTGAGACGCCGCAGCCGGAGCGGATCCTGACATCGATGTCGAGATCCGCCCAGCTGCGTGAGTGACAGCTGGCTCTGCCTATCTAGAGGCAGAGCCAGCTGTACCTGCCCCCTCCCCCGTCCGTTCCGCCAGTCAGCGCTGGCGGATGGGAGCGGGAAGGGGGGAATCCATCCCCTCCCCTGTCACGGCAGAGAGCCGTGACAGGGTCGAAAAGTGAGCGAACACCGGCACGTGTTCGCTCACCTCCCGATCTACTGAGCCGACCTGTGACAGTCTCATAGTCACAGATCGGCTAGAACTATGAGCTGAGTGAAAAGCACTCATAGTTCTCCTTTAAATCTGTAAATTGCTGATATTATCGGTTTCTACAGAATTTCACCAAAGCTATCATAACTACCATGCTGCTAGAGTAAGTTTCATGGAAATATTCCATACGGCATGCAGTGTTGTGTTTGATTATTCTACTAAAAAGCAAGATAATTAACACCAACATCTGATTGTTTGCTATAGGTAACAACCCTAGTATTCCTCAATTTTTTATAAAGCAATCCCAATACATTTCAAAATGCTGACACAATGGAAAACAAGAGAATACAAAAGAGGTAATAGAGGTGCTAGGAAAGTAACAGAAATACTCTACATTTTGTACTGTACAATAGCAGCTTCGACTTCTGTGTTGCCTTAGCCTTGCCAAGCCCATAAGCTTGTCATAAACAATTGTTCAAAAGTGTTTGAGGTAAGCATTCTCTGCAGATAAGCCTAGCAGACCTTAATGACTTTTTAAACTAAGACAACTTACAGTATGCAGGTTTCAGTCTTATTCAGTAAAGGACATTTCAATTTTAAGTGCTAATTCCTAGCTGCTGGTCCAATTAGAATTCATACCACTAAAAGATTAATTCTGATTTGTTTTTATGGGATACTGCACTCAATGATTGCAACTTCAGGGTTAAGAGCTCTTTGTGGGTAAAGCTGCTTGAGAATAGTTTAAAAGCCTACGCCATATCACTGATGAGCAGATATTTTCATTTAGTCTACAATACTATGACACAATACTATGACACAGATCACAGCACATCATATATCATATCACATCATATAACTGTGGAATACCATATATTATTACCTTGTGTAAATTTGTAGATCAGTCTCTGAAATAGCTTCTGAGAGGTTTATGCCATATGTTTCTTTTGTTGACTGAGATGTTGTCTGATGAAAAAGCAGACAATTCTATGATACCAATAAATCATACATGGGAGAAGAAGACAAGATTTTAGAAAATCTAAGTTATCGAGCAGTCCGTTATGCATGTTCAACCAGAAATTAGATGATCCCATAGTGGTGTCAAAGTTCCCTGAAAGTCAGTTTCTATGTTGCACGATTATTTAAAAAAAATCAATAAAAAAAAAATCAATAAACACAACTGAGAAAAACAATTTTTTTTGGCAGATGATTCTTACTTTTTGTTTAATCTAAATCCTGTATATATTACATATGTTTAACATTGCAATGATCACTTTTGTTCAGCACTGTTCATGTGAAGGGCATGTTTAGGATGGATAGCTGTGATGTAGAAGTGAGTTTGTACATTTCAGTTGTAACATAATACACAATATAGCAGTTTAGACAAGAAGATCATTTTAAACCTTTTTCTAGTTTTGAATAGCATAGGGCAGGGATAGGAGACCTATGGCACACAATTCGAGGATTCAAGAGTACAAAGTCCAATGAGAGCACCAAACAAAGGTTCGAAAGAGCAAAAGATTTTAATACTGATATTTGTTCACAATAAGACAACACAGAACAGCCAAAGCATTTTGGGGGTTTAAAGATCTCCCCCACTTCTTCAGACATAATGTATGATGGAAAGATTTGAGACTCAAAAGTGGCAAAGGTTTTGTTTGGTGCATGAAAAATTGGATATGACAAAGATCAGTGGATCAACAGTAACCTTATTATTGCTGATCCATTGAGTCACTGATATTTGTCATTTTCGATTTCTAATGTAGCAATCAATTGAAACCTGGTAGTTGTGCGACTTAAGTCCTCAAAATCCTTGTCATCATACCTAAAACCTGAAGGGGGAGTTCTTTAAACCAGGATGGCTGTTTGTATGGTCTCTTTGTGAACAAATATCAATATTTTAAAGCTTTTGGATCCTCGGACCTTTATTTGGCACTCAAATTTGACTTTGTGCACAAGGATTTTATGTCTGTGTTCCATCAAGATTTCCCATTAATTTCTGCCCCAGATACAAAAGTTTGTATAATTGGAAACCTCTCCAAAGCAAGTGGAAATGCAAACGTTAGACATCTGTCAATGGAAGAGGTTTCCACACTGGAAAATTTCCCACTCTATTCTTGTTCCTGTGACAACTGTAAAGTTCTTGATAGTTATAACTTTATGTCCAGGTGTCAAAGGTCACCCGGACAAATAGAGCTTGTAATTCAAGAGCAGGGACACACACAGCATTACAATAAAAAAAGAAAATCACATTTAAAATTGACTGCCACCACACCTCACTTTAAACAACATACTATGTTCTGCACTCACCATTATCTTTACTAGCAGTGTGAACACTGTAAAAGACTCACAGTCCCCATGGGTTTTAACTATTATTAAGTTATAAAGTATATTGAAAGTCTGCTGGAAAGTCCAATTAAATGGAGTAATGAACACAATAATTAAACAATAGCAGGACAAACACAGTGAGGGGAATTTATCAAAACTGGAGCAGATAGAATCTGGAGCAGTTTCCCATAGCAAACAATCAGTTTTTCCCTTTCATTTTCAGAGCCAGTCACGGCTCTCTGCAGGGACATGATTGAGAAGTGAGCAAGCGACGGTATGTGTTTGCTCACTTCCCGATCTATTGAGCCGATGTGTGACAGTTTCATTGTCACACGTCGGCTCGAACTATGAGGTGAGTGAAAATCACTCACCTCATAGTTCTCCTTTAACCACCTCAGGGCCGACCGTTGTAAAAAAACGGCCGGCCGTGAGGTCTCTAGATCTGAGCGGGCGTCTTTAGACGTCCGCTCAGACACGCCCCTCAGGCGAGACATGGCCGTTATTTAAAAACATGGAGACCCCTGATGTCTCCATAAAGAGGACCTGTCACATATTTTGCTATCACATACGGGGGCTAATTAAACTCCCCTATGTGATACACATAAAAAAGAATAAAAAACAAATTTTTTTTTAAAAGTCCCCACCCACACATGCAAACATGCGTCGGGGGCGCATACGTTAAAAAAAGACGATTGCGCCCATTACGCCGCACATGTTACATATCGCCGCGAACGTCGGAGTGAGAGCAATAAGTCTAGGGCCATCAATCACTGATAACACTAAACTGATGAGCGGTAAAAGCTTTTAAAGCGCCGCCTATGGCCAATTTTGGGTATGGTAGTTTTCTGCGATTTCGCGGGTGCGCGCAATTTTAAAGCTTGACATGTTTGGTGTCTATTTACCCGACGTGACCCGATCTTTTATATTTTACCAAAAATTGGGTAATAATAAATGTTTCCTAACAATGTAAAAAAAAAACTTTTTTTCCCAAAATGTTCTGTAATTTTTCCTAATTATAGTAAAAAATAAAACCCCCAGTGGTGATTAAATACCACCAAAAGAAAGCTCTAGCTGTCCCTAAAAATGGTATAAAATTCATTTCAGTACAGCGTTGCATGACGGAATAAACGTCAGTCAAAGTACCGCACCGCTGAATACTGAAAAATGGCCTGGCCAGGAAGGGGGTCTAAACACCTTGTCTTGAAGTGGTTAATGTAATCACTTTTTAGGTGGAATGAAGCGTTGATTTATTGAGCTGTAAGGGTGCCAACAAATTTGTCCACATCTGTATATGGGATTTTCCATTGGTTAAAATAATACAAGTGTATGGGACATGAGTGTGTGGGACTGCTGGGGTGAAAATAAAAGCGTTCAGTGGTCAGACTGTTACTTAAACTGCAACTCACGTCCTTAGCTAGTTATACACTTTTGATGAATGTTTCCTGGGGTTGTGTAAGAGTAATTCTGAAATTAATTTGTTCACTCATTGTAGCCAGTACCTTTTATACATTTCTGTCTATAGCTGTTAAAGTTTTATTATGGACAAATACCAATGGATGCGATTCCTTATATTAAGTCATAGTTCGCACTTCGCAGCATGTTCAATGGTGATGTTGTAAAGTCCCTGTACATTTTTTTTGTAGTGCTACAGTAAAAAAGAAAGTGCTTGCATAACTCCTTCTTACATAAGCACCTTCTCTGCTGCTACCATATGACGTCCGAACAGCAGTCACCCCCCATTCTTCTTACAAACGTTCGATGCTGCACGGAAAAGAGTTATTTTTGCCTATTAATCTTTTTTTTTTTTTTTTACACTTTAAAGTGTACATGCATCTTTGGAAAAAAAAACAGATGCGTCACATGCTGATATCTCATGCTGATCATTATCATTCATTTCTAGATTATTTTTAATTATGAACTCTGGGAAAAAGTATAAAAAAAACTACACTTGAAGCGGGGCTCTGCACTGTGAATAAAGGTATGTATAAATCATATTTTTTTTTTTTTAAATGGAGAGGGGGCTATATAGGGAGGGTGGAGGGAAAAGATTTGCTGGAATTCTGCTTTAAATGCTATCAAGTAGCTTTTTATTGCAGAATAAACTCTGTATGCAACTTCCCTTTCTGCTAGCAGTTTATTTTTCTAATTGTACACTAAGGGCCAGTTCACACCATATGCAGTGCGTTCCGGTCCGATTCTGGCCGGAACGCACTGCATCGTATTGCGGCCAGCTCACTTTTTTGTGGGGCAGTAGGGGGCGTGGCGGCCCATTGAAGTGAATGGCACCGTAGCCACGCCCTCCAGCCGTGATGCGATTGCCCGCACGGGATTGCAAGGCACATTGTGCCTGCGGTCCGGTGCGATCAAAATGCTGCAAGCACTATTTTGATTGCACCGCACCAGACCGGATGGCAGGCACAATGTGGCTTGTGATCCTGTGCGGGCGATCGCATTGTGGCCGGGGAGTGTAGCTGCGGTGCCATTCACTTCAATGGCCCACCACGCCCCCTCCTGCCTTACAAAAAATGGAGCAGGCCGCAATACGATGCAGTGCGTTCCGGCCAGAATCAGACCAGAACCCACTGCATGTGGTGTGAACGAACCCTAAGCCACCCATGTGCAGCACATTGTACAAGCATGCCATGGGGGCCAGAATAAAAAAAATAGGATTTTTGTACTCACCGTAAAATCCTTTTCTCTCCGTTCATTGAAGGACACAGGGCAACAGATCGTAGATCCTGAATGGTAGGGTATATTGCCACCTGCAGGAATAGGACACTAGGCACATAACAAAAAGACAACACAGCCTAGGGGCGGCCCCTGCTGGTGGCCCAACCCCTCACTTGCTGACAAGTCTCCAGTAAGTAACAAGCAGTTAGGAGTACACACCCAAAATAGAGGGCGGGACCTGTGTCCTTCAATGAACGGAGAGAAAAGGATTTTACGGTGAGTACAAAAATCCTATTTTCTCTCCCGTTCATTGAAGGACACAGGGCAACAGATCGTAGATCCTGAATGGTAGGGACGTCACCAAGCAGTACACACTGAGGGATGGGCAACAACAACAAAACACCCAAAGGACACCTCAAACAGCCGCCTGCAACACTTTGCGCCCCAAACCAGCATCCGCCGATGCCAAAAACATCCACCTTGTAAAACTTAACAAAGGTGTTAACAGAAGACCAAGTAGCGGCCTTACAAACCTGAGAAACAGAGGCCCCATGGCGGAAAGCCCAGGAAGCCCCAATAAAATGGGCAGTGACAGGAAATGGAGGCTCACGCCCCTTAGGTCACATCATTACGTATCCACCTAGAGATGGTAGCCGCCGACGCAGCCCGACCCTTACGAGGACCCTCTGTGAGCACGAACAGGGAGTCGGTCTCGCAGAAAGAAGCCGCGGCTTCCAAACAAACACGAAGAGCGCGAACCACATCCAAACAGTGGAGCGCACGCTCCTTCCTATGGACCGGCTTCGGACACAGGGAAGGCAAGACAATGTCCTCATTCAGATGGAATGCCGACACAACCTTCGGCAGGAACGCCGGCCGAGGACGGAGAACCGCCTTGTCCCGATGCAAAACCAGCAACGGGGACTTGCAGGACAAGGCAGCCAACTCCGACACCCGCCGAACGGAAG